ATACGGCGCCACAGCTCAACTTCAGCATGACGTATAAAAGTAGCGTTGAGTTCCAAATGGAAATTAAAATAATTTGCCGTCGCGGTTTCGGTTCGCAGACGACGCAAATTTTGGCGATTTCACGTTGTTGTTTTGCATAGGACGGCTAAGAAATGTACAAAGTTTCAAAATGCACGTGCTGAGCTATTGTTCTGCCAATTAGATCTCTTGTTTTTCCACGTCCTCGTTCCCGTCGCCGTCGTGGTTTCTTAAGGTCCCTATTATATTAAGCATTTGGAACGCGCGCTCATATACAACGTCTTCATCCAACAAAATCTTGGTCAACACGGCTTCTTTAAACCCCAGCGCTCTGTTAAGTCTTTGCCAAACCTCCACGATGAACAGTGCAAGTTGGCGAATTTCTTTGTCTGTGGGCACTCCTTCTTCTATTACACCTTTATCACATCTGTTGAGAAAGCATATAAATTCACTAGTCTTTGTGTTACGCGCATGGTTGTTGAAGGATCTTTAGCCCAACTCGGGAAGCTCGCTTAAATTCATACTCATTACTCCTTTTGTATTCATCATTGTTCTTACTTTACAGCTAAGTAGGACTTGTGCATCAGCTATTTTGGCTATGGCATAATGCCTTTATGCTTCTGTTGGACAACTCTTTGAAAAAGTTGTAGAGAGAGTCTAATTTCTTAAGACAAGACTCTTTAATGAACCGGATATCAATTCATGTTCAAGTGTTGATTAAACATACTTTGTCTCCTGCCTAAGTATCTAGTAGCAGCCATTTTGCCCTTCCAGTTGGTGATCACAGTGTTACACAGAACAAGACACGTAGAATAGAATAACAGGAGACTCCACCACGCCTCGAGTGCCAACTGATCGTCAGCATTTGTAACCACAATTGCAATAACACCGTGGAACATCAGAGGGACCAGAGAAGCCAAAGCGAACCCATGAAAAACGCCAGCATCGTAATAGGGAGCATCGGTAGTGAAGGCGTTGGCAATATTATTTGCTTTAAGAGTAATGCAGTAAAACATGCTGTTGCTTTAAATGCAGTGAAGAAGACACGTAATCGTAATCACATGAATGCTTTACTGTGTTATAAAAGAGATAAGTTTTAGCCTTTTTATAGAAAGAAACCAAGCTTGTTTGGTCAAGATGGCTGTATATTGGTCCGAGTGTTTAGTTTTCTGCGATTTTATGGACAAAGACGAAGTCGAGGTCTATGAAAAGGCTAAAAAGACCCAGCAAGCTCGTTAGCCTCGTTCCTTTTTTGCCTTTTTGCGGACCTAGACTTCGTCTTTGTCCATAAAATCGCAAAAAACAAAAAAACAAAAAACAAAAAAAAAAACCTCGACCAATGATATCCAGCCTCTTAACGGGACAAGCTTGGTCAATAAAGGATTTATCATATAGCAAAAAGATTTCGCTTTATCAAAAATTAACTATGACTTTAAGCTAGCTTTAGAAACGTATCCTAGGCGGCACTACCCGCGGAGCAGGTGGGGCATGTGCCCCACTAACTTTCAACTTTGAGACAATTAAAAATTGCGCAAGCTGAGATAAACTGTAGTGCGGCGTGTAACACGTGGCCTGTGAACATTATTGCTGAGTCGTGAATCTGACGGAGGGGCCCGAAGGAGCCTCCCCTTATTTTGGGTAAAAACGCAAACGCAGAGGGAAGCAAAACGGGCAGGTAATCACACACAAACAAAAACGACCCTTTCCCCCACCCCTTAGATCAAGGTCTGGATCCACCACAGCCACTGTTTATCATATAGCTGGCAGCATTCGTGAGAAATATGAAGCGAATCCAATCCTGTGTTCTGACTTCGTCTTGGCCATAAAAATGCAAAAAAAACAAAACAAAAACAAAAACAAAACAAGAACAAAACAAAACAAAATCGGCCAATATCCAGCCATTTTGACCTCAAGATTTTATTGTTAACATTATCAAATATTTTATTTGGAATGCACTTCAACTCCTTGGTTGCCTCCGCGTTTTAAGCCTTTATTTTTCGCTGCGCGATTTCATTGAAAAAACTTCAGAAATTTTTTACTTGAGTTACCGAAACTGCCCACCGAGAAGGACATGTTGGCATGCTGTTTCTTCAAGAAATTGTATCGACAACTATGCGGATTTTTATTTAGATATTTACAGACAATCCTATTTACTAATGAGAACAAAAACTATTCGCAAAGTGAAAATGCACTCAAGATTAATGAAAATTCCGTTTGCTGTCCGAAATTTCAGCTTTTATTTGATAGTTTCAGCGTTTTGAAAGGAAAACTCGTTTTCGCGATTTGTGCTAGAAACTTACAGTTTCAACACCGAAAACAAAAGAGAACTTCGAATTTGATTCATATGCACTTATTTTCAAGGAGTTTTCAGAAATTCTCAGCGATATGAGTCTAAGTTCAAGGGTTTTCAAGTCCTTAAAAACAAAGACTTTCAAGGAGCGCGGTAACCCTGTTTAACGGGCGTAGCACGCTGGACAAATGATCCGCCATTTTTTCACTTGTGTTATCTGCACATCCTGCGCAGGCGCATCACAAGCGTGTTACGTCATTTCTCAGCCAATCAGCGGGATTTCCGTCGTATCAGTTCATCGTTCGCTGGCTTCACGAGTATGCGCAGATTGCCGAATGGTGATTTGACACTAATTTGATCAACCTCGTTCCTAGAGTCTCTCATCTTCCCGCCCCCTGGAGAGAGAGAGAGGAGATTTGATGCTCCTTTCATTACGTCACGATTCGCCTTCGGTGACAGAAGACCCTCAATTTTCATTGGCGAGGTCTGTGACACAAAAAGAGCGGGAACGAAAGTTTGTTAAACTCATTCCCAGGAAACTCTCTCTTCGATCCTCGCTCGAGGACCCTGTATAAATGGATAGGCTTATTTTTGGCGTGAAACACGCTCTACAATTCCACACGTTTTGATTGAAAAGTATGGCTTCAACCCGTAAAGTAACAAGAACATTCGAGAAAATGGCTCAAGGTTATTTGGTTACTATGTAGGCATTTTCCCTCGGCATTAATTATACTATCAAGCATTCCCTTTAATAACAACTCTGGGGAGGCCAATCGTTCACACAAGCGGCACAATTTCATATCATGGTGTATCTCTAAAACTCTGTGTAGGTATTCTTAGACATGTGTTTGTTAGCCAACTTTCAAGCTGTTTTCCTTGGCTTTAAAAGGCTTGTACACCACTAAGCGCTCTTGTAGGGTCTCAATGGGGTTCACCGATTGCTGTAAAACGGCTCAAAAATTTAGCCGTTAAGCGTAAAAATTGACAAATTTCAACCGATAGCCGTAAGAAAAAGTTGAACGTGAGAAAAATTTATATTGACAACATTCGAACGTTACTAAAGAGCCGTAAAATGGCCAAAATTTTAACCGTTGACTGTATAAGCAATCACCCCATTGAGAACCTCCCTTGGAATCAATTCTAGCTCGTGGAGAGCCTCCTCAGGAGCGAGCGCCAATATCGAACTAATTAATTTAAGTTAACTCCTGTATATTGAGCTTTCGGGAGGCCCCCCCAAAAAACAAACTGACTGGTGTATGTACTGGTCTTTCCTATGGAACCAGCAGTTTACATCGTATTATCAATAAAAACTCGATAATTTGCTCATTTACGTTAGGGCAAAAGAAAAGAACTGTGAAGTGTTCAACAGGCAACCGTGGACGATAATCCTACTCTTGTACGTTGGATCAGCGGTGATCTAATCTGCCCAAAACAACGAATATAAATATAGAGGCAAGACCGATACAACGTAGATAAGTTTCAGACGGAGCACTATATTTCGGCTGGTTTGGCCAGCCGAAATATAGTGCTCCGTCTTAAAACTTATCCACATTGTATCGGTCTTGCCTCTATATTTATAATAAAAGAGGCAATCTTGGAAAGATACATACCGATTGATACGAAAGTGCGCTGTGGTTTAGTATCTGCCTTCTCTCTGATTTCAATAGCGTTTACATGGGTGAAACTCCAGCATATCCCAACAGTGTTGAGTAAACCGAACCGATAACAAAAATTCCAGAAGGAACCAATTATTTCCGCTATTCCACGATATACAGGCTTCGCACAAGACCAGAAGCCGGAATGGTGATAACTCCGACCAATGATTGACGAATTCTAGGACAGGAAATTAGCGGAAAGAGAGTCTGAAACTCAACACTCGAAGATCTTGGTACTTACCTGTCCAAATGGCTGTTTTTTGTTTTATTTGCTTACATTCAAGTTGAAGATTAATCCACTTTAAAAATATCAGGAAACATGACTGACTTAACTAAGTTTTGAACTGAGACACGCATCCCGATTAACGTGGCCTCAGGCTGCTAGTAAGATTAATGCGTTGTCATTTTCAGACTGCTTGTTTGCCTCTATCTTGCTATTCCAGCCACCTCTCTTATTATTACACTTAGGCGAAGCCAGTCCAGCACTTGTGCATGCGCCCATAGAGGGCGCATAAACGAAAGCAAGAGAGTAGGAGTACGTTCCCTTAAGGGAAGTTAAAATACGCGAAGACGGTTTCATTTTTTCCTAGCAGGTTTCAATCGGTAACCCTATAGGGTCAAGGTGCCTTTGCGCCATTTTCTGTATTCTTAGCTGTGAATTTTAAATTGAGCTTTCGAATGGTCTGTATCATCCGTACAGGGTATCTTCCTTTCTGTATCCCTAGGAGACTGGGAAGAGTTTATGCCCTTTCCAAACCCAACCCACGTTGCTGATTCAAGAAACCGGTTGAGATCTTCTTGTTATTACTTTATTCCTGCATAACATTATTCATTGGCTGAACCACTGAAACACTGTTCCTTTTTCCTACCTTGCACGATGTTTTTTTTTTCAGATTCCAGATACAACCTGGTCAAGATTAAGGCAACAAGCATAGAACAACAGAGATACCAGACAAAATACTTTCAATGTTTTAATCATCACATCTACAGCAAAACACAGATGTCAGATAATTTTTTTTATGTGTTTAAGCACCACCTCTGCAAAATATTTGCTTGATTTTTTTTTTTTGTCCTCAACTAGGACATACATTAACCTTATATCTTACGTAAGAATAACNAAACTGAACTTTAAAGATCTCATCAAATTAACCAAATGCAATTCAACCCATATCAATCATCCCTATAAGTTCTGTGTTAAGTCAGCAAAGTGTAATCCATATAAACACTATTTTCCAATCCAAACTGTAGGGAACTGGAATAGTCTACCAGGATCTACTGTTGAGGCTAGGAGCCTGAGCCATTATAAGAGTGTACTGAGGTGCTTTCTAAATATCTTTTGGCCTTTTGTCCTGTTTATCCATTGTTACTATAGATTGTCAGGTATCAAATTTACCTCTTGTACTTTTGTCGAAGTAGGACGATTTGAAGAACTTGCCAAAAATGTTTCAAACAATCATCACCTTTTTTTAGTAGAAGAGCAGCACATCACTTGGGAATAGTATTGTACTTGTAAGATAGATTTAAAGTTCCCAATGACTGCCAAAAGAATGACAAATATTTGCATATTTGGAGTAAAATTTACACAATCTTCTGAAAATTTCTCCCATAAAATAAGTTGATTTAAATCATTTATCCTTAAATACATTCATTTGAGGGAGTGTTATGGCAAAACAACAGAAAAATCAATGTTTTAGGACTGTCCCTCTATTCTCAATATTCTCATAAATACCCTCCTAAGAGGAGGAGGACAGTTTGTGGCTCTTCCGAAGCTGGTCAACCATACATTGTGACAACTGCTGATTTAATCAGTCAGTTCAGAACTTTTAGTAACTTAAATTGCTTCCCAATAACATTAATCATTGGCTGAAACTTTAAAGACTTAATTTTTTGTTCTACATAGCCCGATGAATTATCCAGATTCCAGAAGATTAAGAATAGCAAGAATAGAACAACAGAGATATCTAAAATATATTTTAATGTTTTAACACACGCTTGATTTTTGTCTAGCTAGGACACATTCACCTGCTCAAATGTATTTAAATTATGTCATTTACACCATTTAAATTTGAACTATTAATTATTATAATGCATTGAACTGTTAATTATTATAATGAAGAAGACTAATTTATTAACTTTTGTGATATGCAGTCATGCATTTTGGCCAATATTTTCACTGAATTACGATAGTGAGTACAATGACGCATTTCCATTCACATTTGGTTTACTTCCCAAGAAGTCCTGATTATTAATTTTTGTGATCACTTTCCTCAAAATCGAGCAAAAGAGAGAGAAACAATGACATTTTGTCTCACACTCGGTCAGTTGAATGACAACCTGAACACTTATTGGCTGCGAACACACAACTGCACATCATAAATATATTACTCAAGTACTTGCTATCATCATTAATTATTCCTCACATTGCAACATAAAAATAACACTCAATATTTCAACCACAATTTGTGAGTAAAATGTAAATAATTGAAACTTATGTCATGAATTTGTAAGATACAAATAAACCAGTAAATACAAATTTATATATTCAATATTTGTTCATATTCCATCTGGCCACCTCTAATAGTCAATAAAATTTTGCATCTAATGTAAATCTTGCACACTTTAGAGAGTTTAGTCATGAACTCATAACAATCAATTGAATTCATTAAAATATTACTACGAAAGTCTACAAAAAGTGTTTTAAAAGACTATATTCAGAAAAGTGCAGTTATCATAAAACCTTAGCATATAAATACTACCACAAATATACAATCTACAGGGAAATATAAATTATTACGAAAAACATATGTACATACTCCAATTAAGAAAGACTTCGACCAAAGGATTGCCACAAAATATACATTATTCTAGGAAAACCTTTAAAAACCTTTGGTAAATCACAAATGAAGACATGAATTTTTTTTTCCCACTAAACCATGCATAAACTACAATCTTTTTCTGACTTCTTGGCTTTATATACCAAAAGGTCAACTGTTTTATTTGAAAAACTACTTTTTGAATACTACTTATTATTCTTCATAACACCTAAAATAGACCTTCACCACTGTTTGACAGCAAGTTTAAAAAATATTCACCTTACAATTTAAAAAGTGCGTGTATTAACTAGAAGTTGCATGTACAATGTAATAACTCTGCTAAAACTTCATCTACCTTTGGCTACTTTTTACAACATATGACCTCACAAACCTGAAATATCACAATATGTCACTGGTTCAAATACAATTTAAAACATAGCTTACATGTATTTACACAAAGGAACTCAGAGATCTAACCGTCTATGAAACAGGGGAGGGGGGAAAGGGGTTGAATGTTCTCTCGATATTCGAACCAATCACAAGTGATCAAGGGCATCCTCGTAAACTTCTTCATCGCCGTCACTCTCCTCATCAGCTTCTTCTACACGTACAGTCAAGTCCTTAAACATAAGAAAAAACAAAGACTTAACATTTCCTAACTGTGAGTACTAATTATTGTTAATGAACACTTGAGACTTACAGTGCTGCTTGATACAAGATTCTCCTGCACAGTATCAGGGGATGGGGCAGTACAAGGAACTTCTACAAGTTTGGCTGGCCTTGACATCAATTCATTCACCATTGTCTGCAGCTGGAAAATTTCCTGATAGGAAATACATCAATGCTAAGAAGAAATAAGATAAGGACTTTTCATAGCATTTGTCATTTGGAAAGTCCATAACAAAGTAGACCTGAGAGGGAACACACAGGCTCAAAATAACTGCTGATCAACGAACAATGTCCTGTCAAATATACATTTTATCTGGTCAACTCAATTCAGAAGGAAGTTAGGGTTTAAATATGGTTGGATAGATACACTTATTTTATTAAGGGAGAAGGGGGGAAGGAGTTAAGTTTATTGAGATAAGACCTAAAGGATATTGGGTTGTGTCTAAGTAAAAAAAGGTCTGACCAGACAACTTGCCAACAGCGAAATTATTTCTCGACCTGACCGGCCACAACTTAATGGAGCAGTGAAGATCGAAATATAACAAAGAAAGCACACGAAACAAGCAACAAAAGTTGACCAGCACCATAAATGTAAGGTGCGTAAATTACTTTCCACCTTAATGGCAGACAAAATAATGTTTGTACTAATAATGTCTGTACCAAGGAGGCAAGGAAAGTACGAGTACTTATAAGGTTTAGGAATTTAATGCCTACTGAAGCTAAATTAAGAATTTTTAAAGCTTTTATTTTACCCTAAGTTACATATTTTCATATAGTATGGCACCACTGTCACTTGTCAGATGAGAGAAAGCTTGAGAGGCTGCAGGAGCGTGCAATGAGGGCTATTTACTGTGACAGGGCTAGCACTTATGAAGCACTTCTAGATAAAGCAAGACTTCCAAC